CAGAGGGAAGTTAAGTGCAGTATGCATAATTAAACCACATCACACATGTGAAAACTGCAATTACATATCTCTAATGATCACAGCGGCTCAGTTACCACTTTCATAACATAACCTGGAAAAGAATGTGAATTTCCAAGCAGCTAGTTGAACTAATATTCTGGAGCCAGGACGCCCTTAGAGAAGGCTAGGGCCACCCCCAAGTCAGGCCAGCTGAGAACAGCTCTGGAGAAACCATTCACCTTATACAAAGGAAAAGAGAGCATATTACTGTTCTAGTTATGACCTTTCCTTTCTCAGCACGTGGCTTACACGATGCAGGTGCATATCGTGAGAAGAAGGCAGCACACACTGTGGTACCCAAGGACGGCATCTTCAGAGCCACACTGCCACACCTCAGGCATGGTCATCCACTGCGCACAGACCAACCTGCTCATTCTCCAGCATGGATTTCCATGCCAAACACATCCCACTGCAACCCAGATTCTCACGATCACAGTACTGGGCTTGTGTAACTCACTCTGGTAACAGAGAGCTGGAAGTTTATTCCACTGCTGGAACAGAATGGATGAACTAAACTGAGAGGTGTTGACCTGCCTGCTGTTCAAGGAAAGGAAAGGAAAACTGACTGCTCCAAGACCAGTCCAAGTCCCTCAGCTGTCCAGACTCACTCTTTGGTCCTGTGCTTAAGAGCCCGGAAAGACATTTGCCCCAGTTCTGCTTACAAGATCACCATTACAGGTTCAAGTGGAGGACTGTGTTCCTTCGTAAATCTGTGCCTCTCCTCCCTTTATGCCTTTTTAACTGTTTATACGGCACCCCTCCAGTTTCTGTGTCTGTCTTTATCACCTCCTTATGGATGTTATGGATGTAGATATAGATCACAGAGTCAGAGGTTATGTGAGCCTCTGGAATAAATATTATCCACACAGAGCTGTGCAGTAACTTGCTTCAGGTTTACCCAGGAACTCAGAGTCGGCTTGAAACAGAAGCTGTATCTGAGACCTACTTGTAGGACTGAACTCTGCAAATACTGTGTCTCTCTTCCACCATCTGCATGGATGTAATAGCTTCCATTGTATGTGACAGAAAAAATATTTTTTTCCACTTAAAAATAGGCACAAACATTCCTTAAGAAACAGATTAATTCCACCTCATTAAAATCATGTACAATCCCCCCCCCAATTATCTTCATTGTGGCTTGGATATATTTAAATATTTATACTCAGTTTTTATGTTCCATTAACAAACTGAGTTTCACTTCACATGCAAAGATCGGAATATATATTTGAGCTTAATTAGCAACACAAAAAGGAAACCAACGTACAAGACCACAAACCAGGCTCTGAGCCAGCTTGGTGAGCCTGCAGACCACCATTCAACATTGAAATCTTTGAGTTGGAGTTATTGGTTACACATTTGGATGACGTGGCAAACACAGGCATGTGCAAGCAGACATAATAAAAATCTCAGACCTGCTGGAAATGACTGTTGTTCATCGAGCTTGCTAGGAACTGGTGACATTCCAATTGCAAAATATTCCAGACACCGGGCAGAACATCTAACTTCATTAGGACCATTTTAAGTTAGCCATTAACATTTATGTGATATTCCTCCATTTGATAACTTCATTATATGTGTGCTTTACACCTGACTAATTTAATATGACCAAGATTTAAATGCTTAATGCCTGGACTCCTAGTCTGAAGCACACAGCCCACATGCACAGCAGCCCCAAATCTCCTAAGGCTGCCCTTGCCCTCCTAAGGTCTGCAGCCACTGCGTAACTCCCTTGTGACGTGCCCTTCAGCAAGCGCTGAGGCAGCTTCCCGTGGCCACGGTAGTTCTACACTGTGGATCATGAGGCTCAAGAAGACTAGAGGAAATTTCACCTCTTAAATTTGCACTGATCTGGTTTCATAGAATCATTTAGGTTGGAAAAGACCTTCAAGATCATCGAGTCCAACCATTAACCATGCCCACTAAACCAGGTCCTGAAGTGCCCCACACTAGACTGCTAATTATCAATATACCAAATTAAGGCAAGATCTCTAAAAATTTGTTGCCTTTCAGTAGTAATGAAATACAGTTCAAAGCAAGTAATAAAATACAGTTCAAAGCACTGTAGCACCACAATGGCAATCTGCAACATCATTTACTTCATATTTAACATTGAAATCAGTGTTTTTCTGAGCAGCTGAAAGATGCCCCAGGCCTCCCATCTCCACACAAGAGAGCTCATTCATTCACACAGTTATTAGAGAGTTAAAGCATCCATTACATCACTGGTTTCATCAGGACAAGTACCACACACTACAATACCATATTCCAAGTTAAGGAAAGCAATGACCAAGGGAAGAACAAAATGCAAAAGTTTGTGTGTATCTCTGTTCGTGCAGCTTTACGTGTGCATTGAAAAGAGCAAGCATATTATCGGAGAATTAATACAGAATTCTTCTCAGCAACATTTTAAGTATAATTTGAAAGCCAGAATGACAATCCATCCTGCTGAAGGAGGCAGGCTCTTCTACATTTAAAGAGGCAGAACATTCTAAACATAATAGTAACATCTCCTTTCACCTGACCATACACAAATGCATGCATTCCAATAACTAATGAAATTACATTTTGTAAATTCATGATGCTTGAATGTTACCAAGAGTTCTGAAGGTCAAAAATGTGCCACAAAGACTAGCATAAAAGTAACAAGTTATGGACAAACCTCTGATGAAGGTGAGGCATCTGTGACAAACACTTTTATGACATGTAATTCATGTATGTGTACATCTGTATCCACACACATACACATTCACATACAAACACAAAAACAGCGTAACAACCAAAAGCCCAATCCCGTACCTAAAATACTCTCCTGAGCTTTCTGCTCAGTCATGGTGAGGCCATTTGTACATGTTGACCAGATTCAACAGACCAACATGATCACCTTTTTGTTACTGGTTTCACTGAATATAGCCTTTAAGTATTATCTGTCAGCCTTTACTGTTCTGCGAGTCCAGGTTACCCCAAGCAAAAATCGCAGGGGGCCCTTCCTGTCATCGTGCCTCTGGATTCCTCCAGCATTGAGTCTCAAATGTAAAAAAACATATAGCTTATAGCCTTCAGCTGGTAACTGGTTACATTAAGAAAAGGATAGTAAGAAAGAAGAGGCAACCTACCATTTTATTAATCCTGAACTAGCAAACAAGTACTCTTGGCCATTTAAATTTATTTGCAAATTCTAGAGTAAAAGCTTAAAACACTTGTAAGCATTTTTGCAAAAAAAAACCTCAGTTAAAAAAATATCTTGGCTTTAATCACAATGGTGGGTTTTTTTCCCCTAGAGATTTAACAAATCGTTAAATATTCTCCTGAGTTTTGTCCCCCACTGTAGTCTCTAGAGGTTACAGACTGAAACCCTCTTCTGCAAAAGCAGTGTAACAGAGAACTGCCACTGAACTGAAACAGATGACGGTACTCCAGGCAGAATCCCATTCCCACCAGGAAAAGTCAGAGCTCTGCTGTCAGAGGCTTGGGCTGACTGAGTCCTCTTCTCAGTCTTACGAGACTGTGGTTTTAAAGAAAGCATCACACTTCTGGAAATGTAACAAAATAGAAGAAATATATCTAATAGGCCAACTCAGTTCCTGCATTTACTATCTTAATCTCCACATAAGGAGCTGCAAGCAGTTGCAATTTTAGCAACACTTTCCCAGGCATTGCTGCGCTTGTTAGCACAATCTTTCCCCACCATTATTCTTATGTCCAAAACCATTCAGGTGGAGGGATGAAATGCTACCAGTAGTGTCTACACTCTGGTTTCAGGCAGAAAACATTGGCACAGTTCTGCCAGTGCAACCAAGTCTTGCTGGGCAGCACCCTCACATGCTATATTCCAGGTATCAGCCTGTCCCTCGTGCAGTCAAATCAGCAGTGTGATCCCAGAGAACAAAGGTTGTGTCCTCTGGTGCTCCAAACAAAACATGACAGAAATTTACATGCAAATGTAAAAGGTCACTGTAGTAACACAAACCAACCTGCTCTGCACAGGGGAAGACAGGATTTCATCACTGTTTGTTTGGCCTCCCTAAGGCACAAAACCATTGCCTATACTCAGAGGGTTAAGAGAAGAGGGATGTGATAAAGGTTTCAGTTATCCTTGAGGGATAACGAACATATAGGGAATAAAATGTGAAATGGAAAGGGAAAGGAATTAATGGATTAATGGGCAATGCAATAAGAGAAAGGAAAGTGTGAAATGAGAATAAGAAAATGTAGGAAAATGCCCCGTTGAGAAGTTTAACCAGAACAGTCATAGGAAGAACAAAACTGAATGAATACATTCAACCTTAAAGTCAGGAAAATTGAATGCATTTCTTTTCAATCTTCCATGTTTTTGCAGTCCACATGTTGGCTAAATGCCAAACAGATGTGCTTGCAGAGAGAGAAGTACCCAAGTGATTGAGGAGCACAAATTGCCCTGAAAGCTACTGAGTATGAGAGGGGATGTCTTGTGCTCCTAAATCCCCCAACTGCCTGCATCAATCCCTCCCACACAGGTACATATCTGTACAAGTGTATGCGCTGCAATTTATTTTAACTCCATATACAAGAATGAGCACCAAGTTACACTTATGTTACTCAGAAACAGAATCCAACTGATTCCAGTAAAGGATGTTACAATGGGAGAGGCTGTCTCATAATTCCCTGAAAAATTCTGTAAATAATAGCTGAAAACCAAAAGGAAATCTATTTCAAAGATTATTGATATGATTAAGCCATAATGCCTTTAAAGGACTTTTTTGGATCAATAGCTAATTTTAGAGACCCATCTCTTTCAAATGCGTAAGTACATAATGAAGGCAGAAACGAAAAGAGTGCAACTTAGCTCTTTGCCAGCAGTTTCCAACAACACGCGAACAACCCCCCTGCACGCTGATTAGGCAAGATGTACATGACAAACAAGTTCTTTCTAATCACAGCAACAAAAGGAAAAATAAACTTACCTTCTGTCACCCCAATATCTATAGTTCCTTTTACTTGACTAAAGCACCACAGCACATCCTGCATGAGGTTTCCAAATCCTGCCAGGGAAACACATGCAGAAAAAAGATAAGATACGATCACATTGGTATATAGCTTGTCCTTTTTTAAACAAACACATACACACGCACATACAAATTGGTACACAAATATCTGCAGTCCCTGCATGAAGATAAATATTTGCTCACCTGGTATCATTCTTCCATACAAAGTGCAAAGCTAACACTGCAAAACTGAAAACATTACGCTTGCATTATGAATTGCCCGTCTGTTTGTTTTCTCCATACCATGGTAGGGCTATTTTGAAAACGGTGTAATTGGAGTCAGTCCCCTCTACATCACTGGCAGCATCACAGAAGAGTCAGGAGGCCCTGTAGTCACGGTCTTTGTCACAGGCTCTCTTCATCAGAATACTAATGCCCCCAATCATTTCCAGCACTGTTAAAGAGAGAGTGAAACAGAGAAAAAGAGAACTACTCTTGCTACCACAATATTTTTTTTTCCAATTTGTGGTCAGTGTAGCTGTGAACTGCTTGGCAATGAATCCAAGCAGAATGAAGCCGCTTTACAGGACATCGTAATATTATAATAAAAATTTGCCTGGAATTAGAAGTGCACTGTAGTTGCTTTAAAAGAATACTACAGGCATTTCTATTACAGGGCATATTATTAAGCTGTAGCTCTCTCAACTGTGCTTGCCGCTGTAGCAATACTCTGTGTTAAACCACTCTGAGAGAAACTAGGATTTTATCTACTGCTGCTCCTCCTTTTCTTGACAGTTCAGCAGAATGTCCCTTTCTGTAATGTAGTTTTCACTGTAGCACAAAAAATTCACTGCCTCAAAAGACAACTTGCTTCCTTTTATCCTAACACACATTTTATCTCAAAGCAATTTCCAGACATGAAGAAAGCAGCACAATGGAGCCATGAGGACAGGGAATGTCATCTTACCCGTTTTACACACAGGTGAGACATGGCACAGAAAATGTGACTGTTTGCAGCCAGCAAGTGTGATACAGGATTCAGTCAAGGGGTCATGCTATCGGAGACTCAGACTTGCTACTTCCCTGCAAAAGAGAAGGAAAACATCAGACTGCGAGACAATGTATAGCTGGAGATAGAACCGAGTGAACTGGACTATGTCATGGCCTACCCAAATGTCTTTGTGAGATTTCTGTCTGGTTTTTAGATCATGATAGCTTTTTGTACGTTAATACAGGTCCATATATATCATATATGTTAAAAGTAATAAAATAATCTTCAATACTTAATAGATACAAAGTCCAGAATTAGCTTTATTGGATGCTTCAAGCCAAATACAAGGGAAAACTGGAGTTTTGAAAGTATGAAAAGATCTGGAATCTGAGGGTATGAGACAGTTTAATAAGACTATGAAAGAATATTAAGTTTAGTGAGATTCATAACTTGAGATGTCCGGACAATGGGAACACCTACAAAATATGACAGGAAGATGTGAAAAAAACATCTACAAAAACAGGTCTTAACATTATTGCATAAACTTCAGTGTCTCATAAATTCTGCTGAAGTGTTTCAGAAGCAAGTAGACAACATGGTGGTTGAGAGGAGCAACATCATGATGCCCTTTCCAGAAAGCTCTTCTCTATTGTTATCTAATTCCACTCAGATAAACTCCTCAAAGGAAAAAGGATTTGCGACTTAAAGTTCTTCCTCCTAGTCTGGGAGCGTGATGACGCCTAACGGGTTTCTGAAAACAGGGACTTTTGTGTTTTCAGGTACCTTGGCTGCTCACGGGAGCGGACAGGGACAGGCGGACGGACAGACAGCACGACAACTCCGCGGCGGTCTCCTCGCTCGCCCCGCTCCAGTCAGCGTTGTTTGCGGCTCTCGTTTACAAAACGCTTCTCAGTACCGCAGCAGGCAAAACGAGAGGCTCGTGAGAGGCAAGCACCAGGTTTTAGCGGGGTGACCTGTAACTCCCAGCTCCCTCCGGCCACCTTTGCCGCTGTGCCGGCCGGGCTGCCGTGAGGCCAGGCGGCCGCCCG